AGCTGGCTCGGGGACAGAGCCAGCCCCCCCTGCCCCTGCGCCCCACGCTCGCCGCAGGCTGCGTGCGAGTCCAGGAGGAGCAGCCCTGCGTTCACGCCTGCCGGCGGGCAGTGACCGTGCCAGCACCCGCGCGGGACGGGGCAGGGCCCACCGGGATGGCGAGGGGCCGCGGGGCGAGCCCCTGCCTGAAGCCCTGCTGCGGCCACGGGGTCACCTCTCCCGGCTCGTGCCGCAGCGACGGCCTGTGCCCAGAGCTCAGTGCCCCCTGCCCAGGTCCCGCTGCAGTGTCCCTGGCTGCATCTGTGCCAGGGAGGCAACGTGCCAAGCAGCAGAGGGGGGCCGGCTGGCACGTCTCCGCGCTGGACCGGCCTCCTGAGAACAGCTTGGGACCAGCGCGGCCGGGATGAGCGCTCCCGGAGGGCAGCCTGCATGTGGCCAGCCCCATCCAGAGGTTTCCTTAATGAGAGCGCTAACGGGCACGGGGCAGAGGGTGCCAGGAACTGCTCCAACAGCTGAGCACAGGGCAGGAGCGCTCCTGGCACCGTCTGAGCATGGATGCAGCCCCCATGAGTACACAGCGCGGACCTTGCTGAGCCACAGCCGACGGCAGAGCGAGACGAGGCCGTTCCACTGCCTACGCAGCAAACGTGATGCTGTCAGTCAGCGGGGCCTCCGCTGAGGCACCCTCTGCCTCCCGAACCGCACCACTGGAGAGATCAGAGACAAGCCACAAGGACAAAGAAAAAGTCTATAAATTATACATGCACTAACTCCATTTGGGAACAGCTCTGAGGATGTCAAACACCAAAAGCTAGGACCCTCCCACTCGTCTCTGCATATGCTTTATGGTACGCTTAGATGTAGTGCCGCGTTCGGGCGCTGTTTGCAGTGTGCCAGCATCTTCCAGTGCTGACAACGAGCCCTGCTGTAGGACGGGAGCAGGACTGTGCAACCCCGCGGCTGCGGTGTCTGCCGGGCCCCCCCGTACTGTAGCTGAATCCGAGGAAACCGCTCTGCTGATGGATCCGTCTGGAAGCGCGGCTCCAGGGACATTTTGGATGCACAGAAAGGGCCACCGGGAAGGGGCGGTGCAGGAAGCAGAGGCACCCAGCACCCAGCCGCACCAGTGTTTTCCAGCTGCTATTCTCAAGCATATTTACTGGGAAATGGCACTCAGGCCCCGTTCCTGGGGCTACGCGCTCACCCACGCCCCCCACGCGTTCGGCTACCCCAGCCCATGCACTGTGTGTCCAGCACACAGCCACGCTTCCCGCTCGGCTCCCGCTCGGGGCCCACGGGCTCCTGCTTGCCCTGCCAGCGCTCAGCCGGGGAGCGGGGCTGCGCCAGCTCCTGAGGCCGAAGCAGGAGGCGGGGGGCTTAGTCCTGGTGCTCTGCTCTTGCGTGCCCCGCTGGGCTCTGCGCCTGCGGGACACCGGGGCCCTCCCTGGGGTGTCGGTGGAGAGTGGCCTCGGGAGAGCCCGAGCGCGCGGGACGGGGCAGCGGCAGAGCCCCAGCGCCGCGGGGAGCCAGGAGGGCGCGGGTGGGCTGGCACTGGCCAGGGCACGCAACCGCCAGCCCGAGGCCGGCCGTGGGAACGGGCTGGGAGCTTGACTAGCAACAGCTGAAGGACGGCAGCATGTACCAGCCATGCCAGTCAGCACAGGGCCATGGAGAACATGGCTCATCAAACCAATTTGCTGTCTGTTTTGATGAGGTTCCAAGTTTGGCCAATGAAGGTAAAGGCCTCGATGGAGCAGACTTGGATTTCTGTGAGGCATTTGACATTTTGACGAAGAAAGCAGAATAATACGAAAGCAATGTGGCACACATTAAACGGATTAAAAACTGGCTACCCAGCATGTCTCAAGACATAATCATCCAGCGATCATCGCCAATTAGCCGTGCTTCTGCCCAG